TTATTTATTTGAGCTTAAATGAAAGTTCAAATGTTGTTTTTAAAGTGAACTTATTCATTTTGGACTTAATACAATTTTGATAATATTGGTTTTGAGAAATAGATTAACTTAAGAAAGCTGTTTTACAAAAACAAAGTTTTTCAATATTGAAATTGTTTTATTTTTCTGTATTAATTCACAAAGTCTTAAAATTTAAATTTTATATGGTTGGAAAGTTTTTTGAGTCTACTTTCTAATGGATCAAACAAAATCAAAATCCAAATTTTCTAAGAAAAAATTTTGAATTTTTACTAGACATTCTGCAGTTGTCAGAAAAACTGCACAAGGCATAATTTTGAAAATTTACTATAATTCATAATCAATGAATTACGTGATGAATTTTATATGGATAGAAAGCCATTTAAGTCTAGTTTCTAAATCTTCAATCGATTTGTGATTTGGATTTATATCACTCAAGATATGATCAAATTAGTGAGTAGAATACAAAACAATAGATAATCACCCAACCACTGACAGGATCGATCCCCTCATGGAAGGGATCAATCGGGTCGTGATTTTCAAGTGAAAAATAGTTCAAAACATGAACCAATCAATCCTCTCAAGCAAGGGATCGATCGGTTCTGGGTGAAAACACTTCAACGGCTACTTTTTGGTGCTTCCAACAGCTATTTTCTTCTCCCAAACACTTTCAACGGCTACCTTTTCAATTTCTCTATAAATTGGACACTCCAGCACACCAAGAAGACAGATGAATCAAGAGAGCAAGAGCCAATAAGCCACATTTTCATTCTCTCAAAGAATCAAGAGTTTTTAGAGCTTCAAAGTCCATATCTTTGTATTTATTGTATCAAATTTTTATTTGTTGTTCATTCATCATTTTCTTCTACTTAAACTTAGCAAACACTTAGCTTTAGAGAGGTTGTTCTATTGTTTGCAAAATTACCTTTGATATACAAGGGTGAAAGAGAACAAGAGGTGATGTATCCTCTTGAGAGCTTTGTAGTGAGATTGTGTAAATTACTACAAAGGTTAGAGGTTTCTATCTTAAGCTTTTGAAAGAAAAAGATAGGTTGTATTTTCAATTCAAGAATAGTGGATTGAAGCCTTGGTGTGGACAACCAAGAAGATAAGACGTAGGTACCTTGTGAAGAATGACCGAACATCTATAAATCATTGTGTTTGATTTTTCTATCCATATCTCATTACAATTTATTGTTGTTTATATTTGATTTTAGATTCATTAATTGTTATTGTTTGCTTTATATTTTCATCAAAAGTGCTTATTGTTTTAATTTTCATTCAACTATATTGAAATCATTTGTTTGAAAAAAATTTGGAGAAATCTAATTCATCCCCCATCTTGGATCACCATATAACCTATAAAGCTAACATCATAAAATAATTAATATTGTCCATACAAACATATTTTGAATAAAATAAACTTAATTTATTAATATTTGAAAAACAAATAAGTAAAAGATTTAAAAAGTAAATATGTTCACCGAACAAATTCAAATAATTATGACAATTTGAATAATTATTTATTTTAAATTGTTATAATATTTTGCTTTGTTATAAGGCAATTGTTTTTGTTCACACAAACTTATTTGAAATAAAATAATATTAATTTATAAATATTTCAAAAAGTAATAATTAAAAGATTTAAAATATAAATATGTTTATCAAATAAGTTCAAATATTTATCACTATTTGAACAATTATCTATTTCAAATTGTTATGACATTTGTTTTGTTATAAAATAATTGTTTTATTTATACAAGTTTTTTGGAATAAAATAACACTAATTTATTAATATTCTGAAGATTAATAAGTAAAAGATTTAAAAAATAAATATGTTTATTGAATAAGTTTAAATAGTTATTACTTGTAAACCAATTATTTATTTCAAATCGTTATGACTTTTTGTTTTATCATAAAAAATTTATTTTTTTCATACAAATTTATTAGGAATAAAATAAAACTAATTTATTAATATTCCAAAAATTAATAAGTAAAAAATTTAAAATATAAATCTGTTCAAGAATAAATTTAATTAGTTATGACTGTTTCAATAATTATTTATTTTAAATCAATATGACTTTTTGTTTTGTTATAAAATAATTGTTTCTATTCATACAACTTTATTTGGAATAAAATAACATTAATTAATATTTTACAAATTAATAATTAAAAGATTTAAAAAATAAATCTGTTTATCAAATAAATTCAAATAGTTATGACTATTTTAAATAATTAATTATTTTAAATAGCTATGATATTTTATTTTATCATAAAATAATTATTTTCGTTCATAAAATTTATTTGAAATAAAATAATACTAATTTATTAATATTTAAAAAATTAATAAGTAAAAAATTTAAAAGATAAATCTATTAATCGAATATGTTCAAATAGCTATGATTATTTGAACAATTATCTATTTCAAATCGTTATAATATTTTGTTTTGTTATAAAGTAATTACTTATGTCTATACAAGTTTATTAATAATAAAATAATACTAATTTATTAATATTTATAATATTAATTAGTAAAAGATTTAATAAATTATTTTGTTTACCAAACAAATTCAACAAATTATGATTATTTGAATAATTATCTACTTCAATTTGTTATGATATTTTGTTAAATAAATCTATTTATTGAACAAGTTTAAATAGGTATGACTTCATATAATTATAATTTTTTGTTTTATCATAAAATAATTGTTTCTATTCATACATGCATTTTCGAAATAAAATAATACTAATTTGTTAATTGTTTTAAAATTAAGAAGTAAATGGTTTAAAAAATAAATCTGTTTACCAAATAAGTTCAACTAATTTGACTATTTGAACAATTATTTATTTTAAAATCGTTATAACATTTTGTTTTGTTATAAAACAATTATTTCTGTTGATACAAGTTTATTCGAAATAAAATAATATTAATTTATTAATATTTTAAAAATTAATAAGTAAAATATTTATAAAATATATTTGTTTACCAAATAAATTTAAATAGTTATGATTATTTGAACAATTATCTATTTTATATTGCTCTAAAAGTTTTGTTTTATTATAAAATAATTATTTCTATTTATAAAAGCTTTTTCAAATAAAATAATACTAATTTATTAATATTTCAAAAATTAATATGTAAAAAGTTTCAAAAATAAATCTGTTTGTCGAATAAGTTCAACTAATTATGATTATTTGAATAATTATCTTTTTTAAATCATTATTACCTTTTGTTTTATTATAAAATAATTATTTTCATTTATACAAGTTTATTCAGAATAAAATAATACTAATTTATAAATATACAAAAAATTAATAAGTTAAAGATTTAAAAATTAATATATTTACTAAGAAAATTCGAATTTATTTGACTCAAATCGTTATTATCTATTCTTTTGTCATAAAATAATTATTTTCATTTAGACAAACTTATTTAAAATAAAATAATACTAAGCTATTAACATTTTAAAAATTAATAAATAAAAAATTTAGAAAATAAATTTATTCATTGAATAAATTCAAATAGTGATAACTTTTAAAGCAATTATATTTTTCAAATTGTTATGACATTTTGATATGTCTTAAAACAATTATTTTTGTTCGTATAAATTTATTTAGAATAAAATAATAATAATTTATTAATATTTCAAAGATTAATAAGTAAAAAATTTATAAAATAAATTTGTTTATCTAATAAATTTAAATAATTATAATTATTTAAACAATTATTTATTTTAAATCATTTTAATATCTTATTTGTCATAAAATAATTATTTTATTTATATAAATTTATTTAGAATAAAATAATATTAACTATTTAATATTTCTTCAATTAATAAATTAAAAAATTAAAAAATAAATCTAATATCCTTTAATTGGTATGCAATGTTTAACTCTAAATTGTGGTAGGCTGCTTTAGACGAGGGAAGACGACCAAGGAACTGGGCCCGCCATATCCAACTGCTCCGCACTAAAACAAGGCTTCCGAATTCAAGTAGCCAATTACATGCCTAGACTCTCCAACTTAATTGTTTCACACAGGGAAAAGTGCTAAATACTTGAAACTGAATTTTGAATTAGAGAAATGGAAGGTAAACAAAATTATGGGGAAATTGAAGGGAAACCTGTTGTTTCTATCTGTAGTATATTTATTCTTAGAAAGTTCGATTGCAGTATTGCAATTCGGATTGGTGTTTTTACCGCCTTCAAATCTCATTTGATTGTTTTTTCAGCCTTCAAATGACTGATGGCCTTTCCTTACGGCTCTAACTTTATTCTTTCTAATAAAGCACTCTACTTTTCAAATTTGTTTAATTGATTATTTCAGGATTTATCAAGTTTGGCTTAAGTTTAGAATTCAAGCTCTTATTTAGTTGAGAAAATGTTAAGGTTGAGGTTGAGTGTTTTTAGAAGATTTTTTTGGATTGTTTAACAGCTCAGTATCATTACTTAAGTCTAGTTTGACATCGTGATTGTCACTGATCATTGTGACTAACAACAATGGTTAGTGGTCAATCAATACCAATTGAGAGTATATTTATTACCATCTAGATGTTTAATTAAAATTTTATATTTTAAATAAAATTTTAATTAAAATTTTAATTTTATTAAAAAAATAATACTCCCTTAATCTCAAAATATTTAAGACTTTTGATTTTCACGAAATTAAAAAAATTAATGTTAATGTACTTAATATTAAATTGATTTTTCATAAAATTATGATTTTTAATGTTAAAAATAAAAAATAATCATGAATAATAATTTTAAATATAAAAAATAAAAATTTTAGATGTTAAGAATACACAATTTTAGGATATAAAAAAAGAAAAGGGAGTCGTTTCTTAACGTTTAAAATTCGGCTTGGCCCTTTAAAAATTTGGGCTGGCTTTCATAAAAGCATATTGGGCTAGCCCTCTAAAATAATCCAGCCAATCTTATTGTTGAAAAATAATTTATTCAAAATAATACCTTGTTACCAAAACTAAATACAATAAAAAGGAATCAAATTGTAATTTTGTCCTCCCTTTCTCTCCCTGTGGATACCCTTTCGGAGATCTCAAGGGTTTTACCCCTCGATGTTTCCGAAGGTGTCTTAACCTCTCTGTCTTCCCCTTCAAACTCCAACTGCGACTCTTCTATCTTTGCGTTTCTTTCTCTTTTACATAAATTGTCATTCTTTTGCTGTCGTTTTTGTTTTTCTTGATTCAACAAAGAGAGCTTATACCGCATAGAGTTTTAATAGAGAGATGGCAGCCTTTTATGCAACGCATTGTCGTTCATATTCATATACTTATTCTTCATCAATAAATGGAGGGCGAAATCAACGCTTTTCTTTTTCTTCTTCTTTTCTGAGATTGTCTGTTCCGGCTAAAGCTAAGGTCTTTCTTCAATCTCAAAGAAATTCCTATCAAAACGCTGTGCTCATGCAAGATGGTTAGTCTTTCTTTTGGGTCTCTCTCCTTTCATTTTCAATTTGTTATTTTTTCTTGTTTTGTTTCTAAATACACGGGAATACAGGCAAGATGTTGGACAAAAATTTCAGTTTCTGTTTATGATTGAGAAAAAAAAGCCTAACTTCACTATCAATTAGCTTAATTCCAATTATATGGCTGATTTAGATTTTTTTTTTCATGAACAAAGTTATTAACTTCCTTTAGACTTTGAGTTTAAATATCGTAACACAAATGGTTTTCATGCATAGGTGCAGTGGCTACAAAAGCGACCACTGTGGAAAAAGAAACTGGTCTGGAGAAATTGAAAGATGAGTTGTTGTCAGTTACGTCTTCAAAAGAATGGGATGAGAAAGCAGGTTTTGATATCAATGAAAATGAGTCAACTGTCAGTATCACAGTGGTTGGAGCTTCTGGGGACCTTGCAAAAAAGAAGATATTTCCTGCACTTTTTGCACTTTATTATGAAGACTGTCTTCCTAAGGTTTAGGTTTTCTTTTTCCCCTTTGTAACTATTCGTCCAAAAGTGTCACTCTATTATTCTCTTCTAAACTGCTTGAAACTTTAATCTGGTTAATGATGTAATTTAATTAACGTCTGAAAAATGTGAGTTTATTTTGTTGCAGCACTTTACCGTCTATGGTTATGCGAGGAGTAAGATGACTGATGCAGAACTAAGGAATATGGTGAGCAAGACCCTTACTTGCAGAATTGATAAAAGGTGAACTTTTTTCTATCATTTTTTTTTCCATTTGAAGCTTACATGCAGTCAAAATTGGATTTGATGTTGGCTTTTAATTGCTTATAAAACTTTAAATGAGTCTGATATATAAATTCAGGGAAAACTGTGGTGAAAAGATGGAACAATTTCTTAAAAGATGTTTCTACCACTCTGGTCAGTATGATTCCCAGGAAAATTTTGCTCAGCTGGACAAGAAGCTCAAGGAGCATGAGGTAATTAGGTTCTGATCCATTTAACTGGAATTTCATACGATTTCAGTTGTGGGGGTGAGTGAATTCTGGCTTGCTGTCCGTGATCTTTGTTAAATTGAATGTGTTGGTGGCAAGCATATTGAGAGTTTAGACCAAAGTTTTCGAGTAATGCATTGGGCACAATATTTACCTATTTCTCCATTTTTACTGATGAGTTGAATTTGTGCCCTAGCAGTTCAACACTTTCTCAAGTTTTAAGTTACTTTTTTGAACTGGATATTTTGAAGTATTCTCGCTCTGGTTCTATTAAACAGCGATGGTACTTGTATGTAAGTCAGTATCCATAGTTGACTAATAACTATGTTGCTAATTTTTATCTGGGAAATTGATGGCTGGAGATTCTTTGTATTATCTGAACTTGTGAAAATGGTGCCATCATAATATTCCCACAAGACTGTCTATTTATTGAGCTAATGCACTCCAGGTATGGGGTTGCAATAAGTATTTTACATGTTTCATTTAAGAATTCTTTTTCTTTAAAATCTAGTAGCGTAGGAGGATCTGCTTGTACCCTATTATAATTTTCTTTGGGTGGATAGAATTATTTTAATGGTTCTTTTCATAATTTGAGAATTCAATTCTCTTTGATGATGTGAAACTGCTCGTGCAGGGTAGGAGGGTTTCTAATCGCCTCTTTTATCTATCTATCCCTCCAAATATTTTTATTGAGGCTGTAAAATGTGCAAGCTTGTCAGCTTCATCTGGTAATGGTTGGACCAGGGTCATTGTTGAGAAACCTTTTGGTCGAGATTCAGAATCTTCTGCTGCATTGACAAAAGCTCTGAAGCAGTACCTAGCAGAGGATCAAATATTCAGGTGGAGTTTTCGTGCCCATATTGGTGCTTGATTTGCAAAGAATGTGAACTGCAATCTGATCCGATTGATATTCTTTTTGCAGGATAGACCATTATCTAGGAAAGGAACTTGTGGAAAATCTATCTGTTCTCCGGTTCTCTAATCTTATTTTTGAACCCTTGTGGTCAAGGCAGTATATAAGAAATGTACAGCTGATATTCTCTGAAGATTTTGGAACTGAAGGACGCGGAGGGTAATCTTCCATCTTTTTCTGTTTTTACTTTTGAACTAAAACTCTGTGTAAGACTTCTAACTTTTTGCTTCTGTTGTTGGTTATCTAGGTATTTTGACCATTATGGAATAATTAGAGATATAATGCAGAATCATCTACTTCAAATACTTGCTCTCTTTGCTATGGAAACCCCTGTAAGTTTGGATGCTGAGGATATTAGAAATGAAAAGGTAACGTGATGTGGGCTATTAGCATGATCTTGTCTTTTTATATGCATGTATTAACTAAACTGCTTTATGGGTTTCAGGTTAAGGTATTGCGGTCAATGAGGCCATTGCAGCTTGAAAATGTAGTTATAGGACAGTACAAGAGCCACAATAAAGGAGGAGTTACTTACCCCGCTTACACTGATGACAAGACTGTTCCCAAAGGTAGCTTGACCCCAACTTTTGCAGCTGCTGCTCTTTTCATAGACAATGCAAGATGGGATGGCGTGCCTTTTCTGATGAAAGCAGGAAAAGCATTACACAATAAGAGGTAAATGGAATTGATAAAGAAATTTGAATTAGTGTAGATTCTATCTAGCATTGGATTATTTAATACATGCCTGCTACTTAGATTTCTTTCACCTATCCAGGGCAGAGATAAGGGTACAGTTCAGGCATGTGCCTGGCAATTTATATAACCGAAATTTTAGAACTGATCTTGATCGAGCCACAAATGAGCTTGTCATTCGAGTGCAACCAGATGAAGCTATTTATTTGAAGATCAATAACAAGGTCCCTGGATTGGGGATGAGATTGGACCGCAGTAACCTAAACCTTCATTATGCTGCTAGGTAAACTTTAAAATTGCTTTTTCAAAATTTTCACTGTTTCTAGCTATATAATCTGTTTGGTTAAGTATATGGATGAAATGTTATATGTAGTTGCTTTTACTGTTTAAAGATGTTGAGCTAGAAGCTCATCCAGGTTGTACATTTCTTGTTATTAATTTGACAACACTTCATTTGAGCCAAAAAAAAGTCCCTACATCAACTAATTTAGTGTTTGCTTTGGTGACTATTTTAATAAATAAAAAAATCAAATTCCAAACTGAACTTACTGGAATGTTGGTTGTAGATATTCAAAAGAGATCCCTGATGCCTATGAGAGGCTTCTACTGGATGCAATTGAGGGTGAGAGGAGGCTGTTTATCCGAAGTGATGAGCTGGATGCAGCCTGGGAACTCTTCACTCCAGTTTTGGCAGAACTGGAAGTGAAAAAAATTATACCTGAATACTATCCGTATGGAAGCCGTGGCCCTGTTGGGGCTCATTATCTTGCAGCGAGATACAATGTTCGGTGGGGTGATCTTGGTGTGGAGCAGTGAGGGTAAATTTCAGCAGTGCTATCGACTTGGGAATAGTAGAACGGGAAGCTTTGCTATAAGGGTGCTGAAAACTTTTAGCCTTTACGAGGTTAGAAATTTACGTTTTATTTATCAATATGGTGGCCAAATTAGCTAGGAGCTAGCAGTTGTGTAAGCAAATGTAATCAACAAGGAAGAGAAGGATTGCCCCCCCGTTCCATTAAAATTGTGATTTGAATTCATACTTTTGCAGGGATATCATTTTGCTAAAAGCATAAAATTCCCAAGGAAATAGGTTGGCTAGAAGACTCCCCCGCCGCTCACTCCCTGCCTTCTTGTTTGCCTATTTTATTTCTTTCAAAAGCAAAAAAGCAAAACCGAAATAATAAACCATGGGGCCAGGACGCCGAGTTTGGTTCTTTATGACAGAAGCGAATCAATTTTTTTTTTTTTTTATAAAAAAATTGTAATTTAAGAATTTTTTTTAACAAAAGATATCTTAGTTTAAGAGTATTTTAAGAATAAAAAAAGTAATTGTAGTTGTTGGTATTGGAATTTTAGATTTATTTAATATTAAAAGTGATTAAATAAATTAATTGAGTTAAATTTTGAGATAAAATCAAATCTTTGAATTCTTCACTGCCTCGTTAAAATTTGTAAAAGTAAGAAGGCAAGGTGTGGTTTGGGTAATTTTGATTCTTAAAATGAGAAGTTTGGTAAAAACTTGATTGAAACACACCTCACAAAGAACGGATTAGAGGACTTGTAAGGATTCCTTTTGAAGGTACAAAGATGCTTAAAACGTTGAAAAATGACAGATGGAAATGTCATACTAACAGCTTTAATTTCAAAATTGGTTTGGAGATTGTTCACTAATCCTAATAGTGTTTGGGCTCAAGTTCTAAAAGCTAAAATACTTTCCATATTCTTCTATAATTCAGGCTAAACCTAAACACACCAGCTCTTGTATTTGGAAAGGAATTATTAAAAGGTCGTTTGGTTGGTAAAATTTAATATTTTTTTTGGAATCTTAATTTTTGATAATTTAGTTAGGAAAATTTTTTCACGTCAAGAATTTTATATTCTCAATCGGGTTAAAATTGGGAAAAATAAGAAGAATTAGAAACCTTTCACTCCTTGATTTTTTTTTTAGATTTCATAAGAAAAGTAATTTTTTTTTATTTATCTTCGATAAAGATTTTATTTTTAAAATAAAAACGTAATATTTTATTAACTGCACGCTACTTAATGATCATACTTAGGCTCAAATCTTCACGAGACCCTTACCTTCCTTTGTAGCACCCAAAAATAAGTGTGTAGGATGAATACATTTGCTCCACGATGTTGACGTAAAGCCTTTGAAAGAAACCCTAAAATAAACTACATTCATTCAATGATTTTGAAGAATAAAGTTGAGAGCAAAATATAAACAACAATGTTAGCTTTGGCGGACGAAGAAAAAAAACGTATTTTTGTTAACAAACTTTTAAATAAAAATATAATTTTTATTAAAAAAATTTAATCGTTGTTGAAATTATAAAATTTTACACTATCTTTGTTAACAAAGACTATTTTTTAGATTAAAAAAATGTAATTTTGTTGATATATTATAAGAAAATTTAATTTTTAAAATTGTATAATTTCAACAGAGATTATGTTTTTAAAACAAAAACTAAAGGATTTCAGTAAAATTAACATAGATTACGATTTTAAGATAAGATAAAATGTAGTCTATTGTAAAAATATTTTATAAAAATATAACCAAAGAACTTTTAGAATGTATTTTTTTTTTTTTTTATCTAAGGGCTTGACAACGAGTGTTTTCTCAAATACAATAAACCACAATTTACACGTATATTGCAACTCACTTAATCTAACACAATATTCAAATTGAGCTAGGATCATTATTTTTAGACCTTAAAAAGAGTTCAAAACTCTGATATAAGTGTTTGCTCAAGGATTTCATTAACCAAAAGGGGGTTATTTAGAAATTTTCAACTATTTTTAATCAAGTGTGAGACTTAATGAAAAATTGATAAGACAGCAATATAAACAACTTAAACAATTTAAAGAGAAAGAGATAAAGGATCAAATACAAAAATTTATAAAAATTTGATTTTATTCTAAAAATACTTATATTTTCTCCCTTAGCTTTTCTCGCCAAAGGTGTTAAATCCACCATTCTTTAATCTTTACAATTACATTTCCAAGATTAAGGCATAACCTTTACAATTACAACTCAAACCCTTAAGATTCTACCCAAATCTTTACTAATTTCACTCAAAAGATTCACTCCCTTTAAATTTAAAAAATTAATTTGGTAAGCGACATTTTTTGCAAATTTAATACCTTACAAAGGCTAAGTATTTGTTTGGCACAGTGAGAGACAATTAATGAGATTAAATGCAAGGAATGAAGAATTTGAAGATTGAATCACTTAAATGCTTTTTAATGCTAGAGAGTTGATGAATTGCTCTTGCAATTGTTGTCTCCTTAAGTGAATAGTGTTTAAGGCTCTATTTATACTTGGAAATGATTTAGAGTCATCGGATCTTCATTAAATATGAATAGTGTAGTTGAATTTGGACACTTTCTTCCCGTTGCTTGGTGTCAAGCATGAAAAGATCAACCCTATGCTTGAAGGATCAATCCTTTGTGCTGTATTTCAAAAATATATTACCGCTAAAGGGTTAGGGATCAATCTTCACTAGGAGGGATCTATATTCATTAAAAATTCACTTTTATTTTTCCCTTTTCTCTTTCTTTCTCTACAATTTCTCTTAACAGATCTTCTCCTTTCTCTTTAGGCTTTTGCTTTATGGCTACCAAAAGGTGTCGCTATCACCATTGTCAACCACGATATAGGCCTCTTATTTTCTAAAAAATTTTATTCTTCTTCCTCTCACTCCCTTCAACCATAAACTAGTTTAACTCATATGATAGCTAACATGACAGCCACATAATTTTCTATCACTTTTTGGAAAAATCCTTTATAGTAACTAGATTTGGTACATTTATCAAATTATAGTAATCTTGTTGGATAAATTAAAGTTTAGTACCCAGTTGAGATTTTTGTGATAGTTGAATGACCAATATGAAATATATTCTTACAATGGTATACTTAATGCTCTTTAGTCAAATGTGTGTCAATTTTGCACTGCTAATTGCCTCATCTTCTTACTATTAGAACAATAGTGCTTAGTGTTTGCTTGCTAAGAGGGAAAAAAAATTGTGTTGCTCACTTCCTAACTCTGAGCATTGGCGTTCCTAGAACAAATGACAGTGTAGGCAGACGAAAATGTTAGAAAGGCGCCAAGGGAAGACCCTAATCTTATTTATTTGAGAGAAGGGGCTTTAAACCAGAACTCCTGTATTTTTTAAGGCACGGATATCCATAAATCAAGTTAAGTCTGGTCAAACGTGAATTGGTCTAAAAAATCCTATCAAGGGCCCGGCCCAAGATGGGTTAGGTCTGAGGGCTAGTAGGCAATCCAATATATACAGATTTCAAAATTAGGAGTTAGGACAGTCAATTTTGATTATTATTGGATCCAAGAAAGGTCCAGCTAAGCTGAAAAAAAAAAAAAAACAAATATCAAAGCTGTTCCTATTTAATGACAATCAAATAACAAACACAATCGTGGCACTCCGTTGCCACTATTTCCCTCATCAACTTTATGAGAGAATGTGTAGCGTATTTATTCAAGTATGGGATCAAATGACAGAAAATTGATTTGTGGGGTAAGAGATGAAACCGATGTGCACAGGATCATGCAATTTGGGCGCAACATCCCTTAACAATAACGGCATTGCTAGAATGAGAGAAAAAATGTGACGATTTGTGGAATGAATCAGGCCCAGAGGTTCTCTCCAAGTCGGCGTAGAGTTCTAAATCACGTGGGATTGAGTCAAACAGTGAGAAAGATCAAGTCCAAAGGTGCAACTGAGGTTTTGGGGGCAGGATCAAGACTCAATGGGTGTGCAAAGGGCTTCAAGAGCCCAGGTTAGGTAATTAGGCTCTTCAACTTTGAAACAGGCTTAGGCACAGATACAAGTGTGTGGGTTTAGGCATGAGCCCAAGGGTGGGCCTACGCGCGGGCACTGCTGAAGACAGACTTGGAACATTTCAGGATAGAGTTCCACCTGTTCAAACTTGAACGATGAAGTAATTTTTAGACTCTATACGAGCCATTCGATAAAATCTATCTCAATTATTAATATAAAAGGCCTCAACTATAAATAGAAGATTTTTCACCTTAATTTGTATGCACCTGAACTTGAGTAACATTTACTCTTATCTTATGTTTCTCTTTAGAGCCATTGATAGGATCAATCTCAATCTTGATATAAGAGGATCTCAACTATAAACAAAAGGTTTTTTACTCTCATTTGTACGCATCTGAACTTGACTGACACGTGTTTACTCTTGCATTATATATATATATATATATAGATATTTTAATAATACAAGTTTACTCGTCTTATATTTCTCTTCTGTTTTTTTTTTTTTTTAAACTTTTTCTCAAAGTATTTTATATGCAAGGCTGTTTTGCAATAGTTTGGGTGATTAGCCCGGATGTATTGGGTGTCTTATTCTAATTCAAATAATAGATTAACCTCGGATGTTAGACGAATCCATTCCCCAATCCAAAGTCCCATGAGCCAGAAGCTGAACAGAGGAATTGATAGTAAGTTGGAGAAGGATAACCCTCATAAATGGATGGCGGTAAATCTATGACCAAAATTGGGTAGATAAATAGGTGGTCCACTCACTTTTGGACCATGACAACATGAAGTGGATCCAATTTAATATTAGAGATGCTGCTCAGCTTTACAATAAATATGCTTTCTTATTCTGGAACTAAAAAAAAAACTAGTTTCAATGAAATTGATTGTTGGTAAGAACAAGAAAAGAAATTTCCAGAAGAAACCATAAACAGAAAATAGTTTTTAGTTCTTTTGATTGAAAACAGTGTGGCTCGATGAGCCTAATTTGACCCGAAGGTCTAAAGCATTTTTTGAATGCAATTTTGGCTTCTTTAGAGTGTAAATGAATAAAGTTTTTGAAAAATTATTTATAAATATATTTAATTTTTGTTTGTTTATCAAATTTAATAAATAATTTTAAATAATGCTTTAATATTTATTTAATAAATAAATTGAATACAAATAAAAATTTATTTGATTCATTTATGTGTATGAACAAATTCGTTTTAATATTTGTGAATAACTTTAATAAATACTTGTTATATTTTATGTTTATTCTTTTTAGGAGACTACTTTATGATTAAATATTTTTGATAAAATTTTAATTACAATTTGTTATATATACATAAAAAAATACTGAATATATATTAAAAATCTTGCATAACGGTTTAAAAATTATTATTGTAAATATAATTTTTAATCGTCTTAAATGAACAATAAACATATTATAAAAGAGATTTTTTTTTTGTTTATAGTAAATGAAAAATAAATAAGTGATAACTTAATAATTAATTATTGATAATTTAATAATAAATTAATAATAATTTAATAGTAAATTAGTGATAGTTTAATAATAAATCATTTTCAGTTTAATAGTAATTAATTGATAGTAATGAATCATAAATAATTTAAATATTAAATTAATGATAAATTAGTAGTAAATAATTGATAATATAAAAGTTAATCATTAAAAACTTAAAAGTAAATGAGTAAAACTTAATAGTAAATTATCGATAACATAATAATTAATCAATAATAACTTAATAGTAAATTATGCATAATTTAATATAAATTAGTAATAACTTGGTAGTGAATTATAAATAATTTAGTGGTAAATTGATAATAATTTTGTAGTAAATAATCAACACTTGAATAATAAATCAATGATAACATAATAGTAAATATATAAACATATAATAGCAAATTATTTATAATTTAGTAGTAAATTGATAACTTAGTAGTAAATTACTAATAACGTAAAAGTAAATTACCAATAACTTAATTATAAATTAGTGATAATTTAGTAGTAAATTAGTTAATCATTGATAATTTTTTAGTAAATTATTAATAAATTAGTTATAATTTTATAATAAATCATTAATAACTTACTGATAAATTACTAATAATTTAATAGAAAATCATTCATAATTTAATGGTAAACCATTCATAATTTAATGACAAATCATTCATAAATTAGTAATAAATAATTGATAGTTTAGTAGTAAATAACTGATAACTTAATAGTAAATAACTGATAATTAAATTGCCAATCGTTTATAACTTTTTTATAATTGACGTTGTTAGGAAGTAAACCTTGGTTACTAGTAAAAATGAAGTCAAAACTTTTATTATTGGGGCTAGGATAACTCTGCCATAAATCTATTTAATAAAAAAATTAGTGAAAAATTTTAAACTTCAATCAAAAAATAATGTTATTATATATAAAAAAAATTATCTTATATATTATTAGTGATGAACTTTTTAAATTTCATGTTTCATAATTGTAAATGTGTATCAATATATTAGTAAATCAATGATACGTTAATAAAAATCAAATAGTAACTTAGTAGTTAATAATTGATAACTTAATAATAAATCAATAATAATTTAATAGTAAATTATTGGTAACTTAATAATAAATCAATTTCATTTTAATAGTAATTAATTGATAAACTAAGTAGTAAACTATAAATAATTTAGTAATAAATCAATGATAATTTAGTAGTTAATAATTAAATATTTAAAAGCAAATCAATATAACTTAGTAGTAGTTAATTATTAATAACTTAATAGCTAATCAATAATAATTTAATAATAAATTATGGATAATTTAATATAAATCAATATAACTTGATAATGAATTATGGTTAATTTAATAATAAAAATGTGATGATTTTGTAGTAAATAATCGAAAACTAAATAATAAATTAATAATAACATAACAGTAAATGCATAATAAGATAATAGTAGATCATTGATAATTTAGATGTAAATTATTGATAACTTAATAATAAATCACTAATAAATTAATTGTAAATTAGTAGTAAATTAGTTAATTATTGATAACTTTATGGTAAATCATTAATAAATTAATAGTAAATCAGTTATAGCTTTATAACAAATTATTAGTAATTTAGTAGTAAATTATCAATAATTTAATAGTAAATTATTTATAAACTTATAGTAAATCAATGCTAATTTAGTAATAAATCATTGATAATGAAATAGTATATCATTGATACATTGTAGTCAATCATTTATAACATAATAGTAAATCAATGATCACTTAATTTTCAATAATTGATTAATTTTTTTATACTTGAAATTATTAGGAATTAAACCTTAGTTACTAGCAAAAACAAAGTTAGAAATTTCATCTTGTGGGGTTAGGATAAACTTATCATGAATCAATTAAATAAAAACTTTAGTGAGAAAATTTTAAATTTGAATAAAACAATAATATTATTATAAAAAAAAATTATCTTATACTCGAACTAATTATGTGTTTTCTTACGAGAATCTATTGCTAAATATATAACGATACAAATTTTATCAATAATTATTAAAAGTATATGTCTATGCAATAAGTTATCGAAAGGTTATTAAAATTACATTAAGAGTTATCAAAAGTTTATAAAAAAATTATTAAAATTGTATTAATAATTATCAAAATTATATCATAAGTTACCAAGCTAATAATGAAGATTACCAAAATTGTATTGAAGGTTATCAAAAGTTTATTAAAATCAAAATTATATCAAAAGTTATTAATTTTTACTTATATTATATTAAAATCAAAATTAAATTATTAGTATTTATCATTATAAAATTATTTATTAAAATAAAATTTTAAAGATAAAACTTACACATGCATCGTGCAGCACTTAAAAATAATCATAGATAAAAGAGTCTGGTAAATAGCCCTTAAAGATTAAACTCAAAAAATATAAATTCGAAATAATTTGAATTTAAGAGATGATTTGAACTTGAAACACCTCATAGTTGAAGCGATTAGGATTCAAAGAAATTGGAACAGACAATGAATCAATCCCGAGATCAATTTTTGATTAAAATTTGTTAAAATTAATTCTAATTAAATTGAAACTAACGAAACTTTATTTTGTATCGAATTTAAAAATAATCAAAACGCTAGATTGGTTGAATATAAAATGTTTTGAATTCGAAATATTCAAATATATATATATTTGATAATTTAAAATATTTAAAATTCAAAAATAATTTAAACACGAAATAATTTAAACTCAAAATCGAAATAATGTGTACCTAGGATAAACAGAAACAAGTGTGTCCATTTGCTACCTTTAACCCCACCAAGCTAATGTCCAGCCAAAGATATTTGGTTCGTGTAAACAAACATAGGGGAAAAAAATAGATCAAATTATGCTAAAGATTTTTATATTATTGCAAAATTTAGAATTTGAGTTTGATAATATTGAATCAATTATTATAAAAATTATTTTTTTATTTTTTAAAAAATAAGATTTTATTTTTTTAAAATCAATATTTTAATTTTTTTAAAATTTTTAAAATATTAAATTTAATAATTTTAAATATTTTGAAATTTAAAAAATCATATTTTTTGAATTTTAAAAATCAGATTTAATTTTTTTAATGAAATTCAATATTTTGAACTTTTTAGAAAATTTCTAAATTTTTGAAAAATATTAAATTTATTTTTTTCAATATTTGAAAATTTTAAAATAAAATTTATCTTTGGAAATTTTTTTAAAAATTTCAACATGTTTATTTAATCAAAATATTTATTTGTTTTTTAAAAATTTTGAAATTTTTATAAAATTTTCTATATTTTTATGTTTTTTTTTTAAATTTTAAAAATTATTTAATATTTAAATAATAAATAAATAAATTATAGAGAAGATATGAGATTTTAGAAATTGTTTGGTTTTAGTATACAAATCTAGAGAAAATATAGTAATGACGAAACACGAAAACCTTAAATAATTTAATATTTAAAAAATATGCTAAAAAATTTGAAATTTATATTTTAAAAATAATTAAATTTGATTTCTTAAAAAAGTCAAAAAATATTATTTTGATTAATAATTGAACCAATATTATTAAATTCAATTTGTATGAGAATGATATTTTAATAAATTATATTAAAAAAATTAAAATTAAAATTTCATATAAGTACATATATTATTTATATAATTTAACAATTAATTTTATAAATTTAAGTTGTTACATCGTAAATTCAATATTATATCGATAAAATTAATACTTATGTTATTAAATCAATTATCATATTAATATTTTTAATCATAAAAATTTAATAAAATTAATGATTTGATTAAAATTATTAAATTAAAATAATATAAAAATTAAATTTTTACAAATTATAATACAAAGATGAAATTTTAAATCTTAACAAAGTGCAAAATCTCTAACAGAATTTTAGAGACATAAAAAGAAAGACTGGACCTAGCCTTCAAACAAACGAGTGCAATGAGAACATCGCCACCTAATGTTTTGTTTCCCACCGGTCCCACACGCATTAACAGCGAATTTTAGCATTACAAATCAGTACAACCAAGGGAAACATGAACCTTCCTTCCCTTTTCCTTCCCCTTTGGCCTGTCATCTAATTTTGCCTAACGCGTCCTTATTTTCTAACAACCCATAAAAATCAAGACTCACCGCAACTTTCATTGCAAGATTATTATTATTGTTATTATTATTATTATCATCTAATTCTAGTAGCATAAGATTATCCAGCCTTCTACAATTGACCATTACATTCTCCATAAAAATATCCCAAGATCCCTCAAATTCTCTTTAACAAAACCATAACTGTTTTCCTTTCAAGAAGCCTCTTTTTTTCAACAAAACCTTACATTTCTTGCCCTTTCGGTCTTTCTTTTCACCATGGGAAATTATATTTCGTGCACCTTGGCCACCCCTTTAATCAAGAGTGGGAAAGCTGCAAGGGTGATCCTTCCCGGAGGTGAAATCAGGCAATTCCGGGAGTCTGTAAAGGCTGCAGAGCTCATGTTGGAGTGTCCAAACTTTTTCTTGACAAATTCCCAATCTCTTCATATAGGCAGGAGATTTTCAGCTCTAAGTGCTGATGAAGAATTGGAGTTTGGTAACGTTTTCATCATGTTCCCGATAAAGAGAGTAAACTCTGTGGTGACTGCAGCTGATATGGCTATACTTTTCATGGCAGCCAACTCTGCAGCCAATAGAATATCTGGTGGAAAAGTGAGGATTTTATCAGAGTCTGGCAACGCTCACATGCAAAAAAGGTCAATAGAATGTGAAGATCGAGGATCAAGATTGAGCTTGGAAGGGGTTGATGAGGGGTTTCCGGTGGCAGAATATAAGTACAGGTTATCTGTTTGTAGGTCAAGAAAACCTTCCTTAGAGACAATCAAAGAAGAATCATTTTGCTCAAGTTGAAATTGATCATTTGCTTGTTGTTGGGTTAGTTAATAGGGAGATAACTCTTGTTATCGTTTCATTCTATTTGCTCTCATATTTTCAGCATATAGATATATAGAACTACTTTTGAGTGAAACTGATGAATTCAACAGCTTTTTTTTTTTAATTTTGTTGGGTGGGGAGAGTTTGATTTGTGAGTGGCTGTAACCTGACTAACAAATTGAGATATCATCTCTTTGGAATGAGTGTATCCATGGAAAAAGGGGAAAAAAGCGAGAATGTGATTTCTTTTTTTTTAATTAATGAATAAGTGTATCCATGGAAAAAGGGGAAACAAGCGAGAATGTGATTTCTTTTGCCCTCTTATTTGGTCCAGGATAACCTGTTTGATAAGCCTGCCGATGTGGATGAAAATTTTTCTTAAAATTATATCCATGATGAATAAGTAAGTTTTATTCTTCCATCAATGGGATGTGACGAAATTTCATTAATCTGCAAAAGAAAAAAAATTAAGTTGAAAAATGATCAGTAGTTATCAATTGATAGAAATAAGAATTTGATTCATCTTAATTCTGGTAATATTCAACATTTTATCAATCGATATTGGTGGAGGTTGAAATTGTAAACGTGGAAATTGCTCTGTTTTGGGTCAAAAGCCCCGGGACCCAGACTTAACTGGTCAATTGCAGTTTCCAAAGCCAGGGATGGAACTGCTTTGAAGTTGAAAGGGAATAGTTGAAATTTCTCCGCAAAAGTTAGTTTCCAAATTTCCTTTGGACTTTCGAAAGTGGATGATTATCCAACATATGACGGTAGAGTATTTTAATTCCGCTAATTGATAGTCTTCCAAATTAATGATAAAGCTTCACACTTTTTTTCAAGTAATTTTTTACAGGATTTTATCTTGATAATTTTTGTCTTAAGATTATTAAGACCGTTAAAAATCACTAGGGATTCATGGTGACAATTTGAGCGAAATATCTGACAGTATCTGAACTAAAGTTATTAATATCGTATTAGATAATATTTTAATTTTTTTAAAAAAATGATATATATTAATATTAATTATTTCAATATATTATTTTAAATTTTTTTGTTTAATATAAATATATTTATAAATATACATAAATTCGTACATTATAATATTATTAATAAGTCACAAAATAAATATGTAATATATTCAAATCAAATAAATAAGTTTAAAACATAAGAAATAATATCATAAATTTTTTATAATAATTTTAAACACTTAATCTAATTATATGATATTTAAATAAGTATTTTTTATATAAATATTAAGATAAAAATAAAGAGATGAAAACAATTAATCAAAATTTTATAATTATTAAACTTTATAAAAGGAGTATAATTATTTTCTTAAAAAAATTAAATATTTATAAATTTTGGTTTGAAAAAATAAAAAATAAAATAATAAATTTTGGTTTTAAAAAATAAAGTATAAAAAAAGTTAAAATAAAAAATAAAGAAACTCAAAATTTAAGGATTAATTTATCAATTAATTTTATTTTTATTAGATAAAAAATAATTAAATAACAATAGATAAATTAAAAATTATAAAATATATTTATATTCACGTATCAATCGAAATATGTTATTTTATTAAAATTTATCAAAATAAATCAAAATTAACAAAAATAATTGATATTATACAATATCGAATCTAGTATGAAAATCATTTTTAAATGTATTATATTTTGATATAATTAAAATTTATCGATCCATACAACTGATAGCTAAACAAAATTAACAATTATGATATGAACCCTTTAAAAGGCCTGGCCTAAGGATGGTTCTTCCGTAAATAGATTTGTTCATTTGGAATGGGACATTCTCCCTAACTATAGTATTTTCTGTTGAGACAAAAATCATTCATAAAATTGAGGAATTTAGTCATAAAACTTGATTAAGCCCAACCCAATTCAAATATAAATAAATGGTAATTAGGTTAAACCTGATTAATTAGATATTAAAATCAATCAACGGTAACGGGTCTTAATAGTAGCCCAATCCATTAGATTAGAGGCTCACTGTCTTTTTTGTGATATATGATTCTGAAAAAGAGACATTTCATAATCACGTGGACTGAACCAAATATATGAAGGCCTATACAATCCAATTTGGGTGGAATTCCATGGCAACTGACATTTGCTACAAAATATCTAGGCAAGCGTGTAGTTTAGTGGCAATTATTTGCCGGTTATGAGGTTTGTGCTGAAGCACAATGAAGAGGCAAAGCTACAATCAAGGAACTGAAAAGTTGAAGTATGATAAGACTTCATTATTACGGAAAGTTGTCAAAAAGGTTTAATGTCAGAAAAATTTAGTATTAGAGGAGATATTTCAGTCTTGAGCGGTGCGGGAGTCACCACGTAAGCACCAAATTTTGTATTTTTGCTAATTAACAAACTAATTAATTTCTCAAAGAAATAAAATGAGACAAAAAAGGACAAGTCAGTCGATCGGCAACCCTTTACAAACCGGAATCGGTTAGTTTTGAGCCAATTTTAGATCAGATTAATAATGAAGCTTAACTTTAGGTTGGGAAAAGTCCAACAAGTGACAACCGATCGTTGATTGGAAGAGTCTAACCTACCCTAAATCGGGAATCAGCATACTTGGATTATTAATGACATTTTTAAATAGAAGAGAAAATCCTAACCGATCATGCAAGGTGTGCGAACCCTAAAGGAGTTCGAAGTTTGATGTTCCACGTCTGTATTTTTGGGAATTGATATCTTTAAATAATTGGTATTCTAGATTTCGATAATTTTTTTTTTTAGATATCTATTTTCATAATATATAAAACAATAAAAGTAGTTTTAATAATTTAAGATTTGCGATGAGATAAGCAGAGAGAAAAAAAAGAAAATGAATGTGTGAAAGGATTGAAAGATAATTTGACAAAAGTTAATTAAATAATTTATTTAAAAATATGTTTTAATAAAAAATAAAATGTATAGAACAAATTTGAAAGTGCAAATAGAAACTTCCAGATTGAACTTCTGTATATCACTTTGGTGACGGGTATCAACACGACATTTCTAGCAGCATTTAGGTCTTGAAGATTGAACATAGTTAAACTCTACAAAACCAATTCTTCAGTCCAGGACTCTCCAACTCTAATATTTCATTTCCCATTTTTTAAGATTAGGAATGGAAGAATTAATTAAACAGGCGACATCCTAGTTCTCCTAAATATTATGTAACTTTCTTCCAATACATAAGGTCGGCAGAGAATAATCACAATTGCTTGCTTGAAATATCTAAAGAAAACATACTGTAAGTATCATTGGCCTATGCTCCGTTGCAAACTACAGCCTGATAATTTTTTTATTTAATTTTTAAAATGATTATATTTTATTTATTTTTCTTTCTTTTTTCTTCTCTCATTTTTAAATGCTAAACTTTATTTATTTTATTATTATTTTTTTTTCATTTTTACCTTTCCTGTCATTGCAATGAAAGTTTCTCTAGATGATTTTTGGTCGTTGAGAAGTGCCATGCTGGCCGTTGTCCGTTGCTGGCGTCTGAGCCCTTTCAACTCAAAATTTTCATCATACATCCTCTCAATTTCCTCGTCACCGTTCCAAACTCGGAATTTTCAAAATTAATCTCTAAAAACTTAAATCTATAAGCCTAGTTGAGACCTAAAAATCACCGAACACCTGCATCCGCCGCTCAAAATAACCTTATCTTCTATTATGTTTATCCCTATCCCTTCCTTCCTTCTAATTTTCAAGCCCAGAAATCCCTTGAATCTTCCCAAAATCAAAACTACCCTATCTTACTTTTTGGTTGATTTTACTGTTTTTTTTTCCTTGTGTGGCTTCCCTTAATGATGGAATGATGCTTGAGTTTTTTTTTTTTTTTTTAAGTATTTTTTTTACTAAGTGGTAGGCTTTAGTCTGGCTTTTTTGGTGATAATTGAGTTTTGGATTGACTACGTAGATGAATATGACAGTGGTTAATGGTGATAAGGATGGGTGGTGTAGATTTCATATTAAAAAAATTTGCAGATTTGTGTGTTTGATCTACAAAGAAAATTTATAGATCTGTTTTTTTTTTTTTAATTTTCATATATTTAAAATTTTCATTATTTATATTTTAAGTATTTTATTTTAATTAAAGGATATAAAAATTATTTTATTTATTGGACATGTGTCAAAAAAAAATTTTTAAGGAAAAATTTTAATATATAACTAGTGTGTAGCCGGCACTACGCGTCAGGAGTACAATTAAATTGTAAACTCTTTAAATAAAAAGTGACTTACATAATTTAAATTTTTTTTTAGTTTTTCATAAATTTTCACTATTAATTTTAATAAATGCAAATAATAAGATTAAATTATTGTTTTTTATTTTTATTTCTCTTTCTTATTTTTTGGATCTATTAAAACTAAAGGTTAAAAAAATATAAAAACTTTTTTTTATTTTACACTATATAAATTAATCATTCCTTTTTAAAAAAACTATTAATATAAAGTTTAAACATGTGTATTAACAACATACTGGATATATTTTTAAGCATGAAAAAAATATTATAGATATGTTTGTTTATCTAATAGGTATATGAAAAATATGAACAGAAAATGCTTCTTTTCAAGTCTCAGTTGTGAAAAATCTTCAATCACAGCAAGTAACAAATCTAATATCAAATGTTAGAAAGCTAAACTTCTATAACTACTTTACCAATGACTTGGACAAGTGAATGAAGTGGAAAATTTTTTTCACTACTCCCAATTGGATGGCCTCGTTGATAATAGAAAAAAACTTCAACAAAATAGGTATCTCTTAAGTTCAATCCTCAAGTTGAGCTAATAGCTAATAGCAGCCAACTATCTTTTGTACATACCCCTGCTTCGTAAGTGTCATAATTTGGTAGTGCTTAGCACAACAAAGCAATGCACTTAAGTTAGTAGTATCTAAGTTAAGAAAGAATCCTATGATGATAAAATATGAAGTAACCAAATGCAACAAATTTTACTTTTTTAACAATA